AGATAGAATTATAGTAGGAGGAGTAATAGACAGAAAAATTTGGCCAAAAAGAGGGGAGACTAGATAAAAAACAAGATTTTTCTTCGGAATGGAACAGATTTTGATCTTCAAAAGAATTTTACCTGATTTGTAAAGAAACTCAACTTTTATCAATGATGAAAATTACTCGTTAACGAAGAGTTTGTGATAGACGTTGTTACCATTGAGATTTCGATAATAAAGGATTTTTTCGTGTGAAAAAAACGCGCTCCGCTCACCTTTGAAAAGTATAATATTTATTTGTCATGTATAATATTTTCTTTCTCAATCTAAACTTTAACGACGTTGAGTAATTGCAAACATACTCTGTGTGTCAGTAAATATTTGTAAACACAAATTGAATGGCGTAAAAACAGAAACATTGGAAACATGTAGTTGAGTCAATAGTAAGGTTTTAAGGAAAATTAGCTACTGATGAGTCTTCCAAATTGAGACCACTTTTTATCAAAAAAGTGGTCTCAAGTAGTCTCAATTAGGAAGTCTTAATAAACATCAAACAAACATCAGAGGGCGGCAATTCAAGTGAGAGTGAGAGTGAGAGCGAAAAATAGCGGTCTCAATTAACAAGTAGTTGCTATTGACTATGCTCGAAACCTATAGAAAATCAATCCACGTTGTTTAACATTAAAGTGTATTTAATCACATAAATTTATACATCTTATCTTACTGTAACAACATATGCTGCTACAGACGTTTATTATTGTCTAATGTACATTTAGATACAGATCTTTTCATTCGTAAATTAATGCACAGATCAGATTATTTACTCTGAGCAAATGTGTTAAACTTGAAATATAATCAGTTAGCTTCACCGATAACGAGCCACGTTATACATAATCTCATGAGAGAAAACAGCTTGACTGGGTAAAACTATGGGTGGAAAGAGCCCTTTTAAAAAACATTATTGATTCTTCGAATAGCTCAAACGTTGTCCAATTTGTGGAAAATAATAATTTGAAGGTATCACTTTTTTCGTTAATCATACACCCCTCAGTAAAGTTTTGCATGTATTGCATTCATTCCACCTCCGCTCAAATGGAGTATTAAGACTGTCTTTAAAAAAAATTTTGTTGCCTAGAGGAATTCTTAGATTTACGATCAAAAAGTGCTTTATTCTCCTTTATCCACTCTTCATCTCTTTGAAAAAGAAAAAAACGTGGTAAATTACAAATTAAACTACATTTACTAAATCAAATGATCTTTACGAAGATTTCATTACTCATGGAGTTTGTGTGACTTGTCAAACGAGCTTAAATGCGTAACAACTTGTTTGCGAACACTTCTGTATAAGGAACAGTTGCCAATTAAGTAAAAAGTCTAGCCTTTCTACCTAATCGATTAAAACAGAAACATGAAAATATGTCTTTTCTAGTTTCCGTATACAATAGTCAACGATTAATGAATTATGAATATTTTTATTGCACAATATTCTACTATATATACTTAGAGCACAAATTCTAAAATAATAAATCTGTTTAAAGCCTTAGAACATATTTAATGGATTCTTTGTCATCATATTTAAAACATAAGCCTGAAATCATTCTATTGTACTGATTGTACTGAGTTTTATTTGATCTTTCTTTTAAATAAAATTCGACTATACAAGTAAAACATGACTAAAGATGTTTGCAACAAGTCTGCACAGATTTTGTAATTTTCTTCAGATTTGTATGCAGAATGTAGACAAGATTTGGACTAGAATTTTAATAGAATATGTTCAAAATTTTTTGCTATAAATCTTGTCTACATTCTGCAAGCTTCTATTGCAGATCTGGTCCAAATTTAATGCAGATCTTCCTTGTTGAAAGTTCTCCATAATTAAGATGCCGTTAAAACGTTGACAAAAGTCTACTTTTAACGAGACTTCGTTGTATCCTATTCATATGATTTACAAAAAGATATTTTATAGCTATGCAATTAGAGCCGTGATGAATAGTTTGATTTTTCTTTCTTAATAACTTGAAAACATACTAGTCCATACACATGTAGGAAACACACCTTAGAATTTTAACAAACTGCGCTATCTTTCTAATTTCGAATGATGAAATATGTATATCTATATTTGTAAGTGCTTTTGATTTTGACTAATTATGTAATAACAAAAAAACAAAAAAAATCATTATGAAGGGAGAAATCGTTGCAAAATGCTTTGAATAATCGAATATAGAAATGGGTTCATGAGTCAAATTATTTCTGTATTTTGTTTGCTTTTGTCTGAAATTTTCTTTTTTTCTTTTTCATCGGTCCTTGCACACAAAAACCTTCATGTAGTATATATACTCAAACATGCAATAACTAAAAAATTATTATTACCATACAATTCGCAATTTAAACGGAACAGGTAAAGCAAAAATATGACGTCAGTAGTAGAAAAAAACACCCTCCCCTCTTCGGTGTTTTCTTTACTCAATTTTATGTATGTAAATTTTTTTATGTGGAGATGAAAAATTTCAATTATTTCATCCATACATCGTTAAAGGTGAAACTACGAGCATTAATACGTGTATATTATAATATAACCGTTATCTCGTGAAGAATGACAGAAACTCTCCAAAAAAGTAAAAATACCCTTTCTGTTCATTCAGCGTGTTTCCATTCAGCTTCCCCACTTTAGACAAATATAAAAGTCAATACCCTTACCATGTAAGGCGTAGAAAACTACATAAAAGCCCCCAATTCTTCCGTGCAAAAGTCATATTTTACATGTCTTTTCAGAGATGTCAAGTTTCGCCCTTCCCTCTAATGATGATTAGACAAAGCGGATCAGAAAAATTTTTGCCGTCATTTGGCATAGCTGGATGAGTACTACAAATGAGAGTAAAATGAAAAAATGCGACTGAAGACGCTAGAGGGACCAAAAGTTGGCTATTCCAAAATTTATTAATTAATTTAATTTAAAGATAGACGTGCTATGCTAAAAGAGGAAGATAGCTATCGACCGAATTCTTTTTCCATTAGATTAGGCAGCTCTCCAACTCCAGTTTCATATATAATAAAAGAACTCTTGGTTTTGTTTTGCGTTCAGGAACGGTAAAATACTGAATACCATTTTCTGATTTACAGCTATTTTGTGCCAGTTGCCGTGCCCTTGTGAGAGTAGTACTAAGACGACTTTTTGATATCAGTACGTGTACTACTTGAGCTGCTCTTTCGTGTGATATGTGCAATGCTGGTGTCAGCTCTGTAGATGCAAGGAAAAATGTTGCGGTCAAAGTTGCTTTAATAGAGAGAAGGTCAAAACTTGACATCTCTGAAAAGACATGTAAAACATGACTTTTTCACGGAAGAATTTGGGGACTTTATGTAATTTACTACGCCTTACTCGGTAGGATTCTCGATATTTTTGCGGCTTTTATTTTTGTACAACGTGGGATGAAAACACCTGTCAAAAATCAGGAGCTCCTTCCCGTAAATAATTATACTTGCCGAATTTGGTTCGGTATGATCTGTTTTCAGTTGTTAGCGTTTGCCAGGCATCACAATGCTGCACTAACCATAAAGACGTGATTTCGCAGATTAACTTTGGTCTGTTCTCTAAAATTATGATAACTTTCGATCTTCTTAACTATAGTTAGCATTGGTGTTGCCTTTTAGAAATGAAACATGATCGACTGAACTTGAGCTCCATTTAATAGAATTCTCAGACAATTCAGAACGACATCTATTCGGATACGATAGTTAAACCAGACGATTATGGAAAGTTAAACTACTTTGTAGAATACAGGAAATCTATTTGCACTACATGAACTGTCTTTAATTAGGAAACTGAATGAATTTTCAACCATTGACATGCTTTTCTAAATCAGTAATGAGGTTAGCAGAAATTTGATTGACTGTGAGTGAGTAGAGAATATCTGCGCAAAAGTCCACAGTATGGATAAATAAAAAACAGACAAAATGAATTAAAATAATTAAAAAAAAAAAAGGCGATATCTCAACTCTTTCAAAATTAAACTTGTCTATATATTTTGCTATTTTCTTATCTTTTAATAATTGGAATCCACAATTAAGCAAGTTCATCCAGGTAACATTACATAGCGCTCATATGCGGCTTGCTCGATCTTTTAAACTGAAGAAAAATGTTCTTCAAGTCGTACTGTTTTTTAACCGTAGCTGAAGTTATAATAAGTCAATCATTGTATTGATAACTGCAAAAAATTCAATCGAATGGTATTATCCTCTATAATATACAGAGTGATAGTTGAAGTTTAGCTGCTGCTAAAATCAATATCATTCATTCAAATATATTTATCCATGAAGTTACTTTTCCAGTTGTCTAAGAATACGAAATTATTTTCGACTGACATTTGTTAGATAAAAAACTTTTAGCCTTTTGTATTTAGAATAACGTAGCATAAAATTTGTAATACAGTAATTCGATGCAAAGAAAAGCAATTTTTTTTGCTGCATTCAACCCCTGCATTCATATCACGTTTTCAGTGTGTAGTCTGTTATTTATTTAATGACCTGACCTTCTTTGTTTGCCTCTACTTCACTATTATTCTTATACGAGTTTGACATGAAAATTTTCATGAAAGATAATAATATAATAAGAGTCAAATCTTCATTTATTTTAGCACGATAAAATTTATATTATACTCTTTATATTTATATTAATAAACAAAAATATAAAGGTAACGTTAGTTTTTATCTGTTTATTAAAACTTTAAGAACCATTCGTACTTTGCGTACGGAGAGACAGACAACTCTTTTGTATAAGATCAGACTAGGATCAAGAGAATTACCTCTGAAAATAGATTCAAAAGTGTTCGACACAATCTTTTCGTCACTATTTTCATTTATTTTTTCTTTGTTGTGAAAGTGAAGTCAATTAGTATTTAGAGTAGTACTAAACCAGGTATTTGAACAAATTTCAATAATGACAAATAGAATATTATACAGATCAATATTTGCTCACCATGTTCGGCATTTACCCTTTCTCTCTCTTATTATTTCAGATAATGTTACACCAAAATGACTGTACTCAAAATGAAACAATGGGTATGAATCAAATTAATAATTTGTTTAAAACTGCATTAGATTTTCAACCACACTGTTCAACATCTATATCCTCCTCTGCAAACGTTGTAACAAAAACTCGTTTATTTAAAAAAGTATTAACAAAATCTTATTCATGCGCAGATGCTGAAGATGCCATATCAGCAATGTCTGAATCTTCATTTATTACACCACAAGAATTTTATCAATTAATTCAAAATAAAACACAATTAGGTTCGTCTATCATACCCATTATCGATTGTCGCTCAAGTTTAGATTATTCTAATGAACATATTCGTTCTTCACAAAATTTAAATTGTTATCATAAATTTTTTGCTAAAAGTCTAAGTAGATGCAAACGTTTAGAAGATGTTTGTTGTCAATTTTCCTCAAGTATAAATAATTCCGATTTTGTTGTTGTTTATGATCAGTCAACTTTTGTTAAAAATGAAGATAAATTAAAAACATTACCCATTAATTTATGTGTTCAAGCAGCAAAAAAATCACAGAAAAAAGTACTGATTATTTTAGGTAAGATTTAAATCTAGTTTAATGACTAGTTTATATTGAAAAGAGAATCTCTGATATCAAAATACAAATATAAAAACGTCTTTAATTTATGTAGGTGGTTTTGATGCAATTAAAAAAGAGTATCCACAATTGATTGAATGCGCCGAAAAATGTCCATCATCATCGACTCATCTAACTTTGAATGAAGAATGTGTACCTGAATCACCATCTGTTATTTCACCTCATGATTCAGTTATGACAGAAATTGTTCCACACGTTTTTGTTGGTATGTATCTAATATTCATGAAATTTTTTCAGGTTACTTATAAAGAAAATAAATCAAATGGAACAATTTTTTTGTAGGCGATTAGAGTATTTAGTACATTTTTATCGTAGTAACATGCTTCAAACATTGTATTCTTGCTTACAACTCACAATATTCTTTGAAACAATTCTCTGTTTCAAAAGAAACGGTTGTTGGTCTCAAGTAAAAATATTATATTCTAATTTGTTTTGTTTCGTCGCTATAGCATACATAGAAGTTAACAAAATACAAATAAATATTCACATAAATAGCGAATAATTTATTTCTTCTTACGATTATTGTTTCATTATGTTCGCTCTATCTATGGTCCGTATATGAGAGGTCATATTTCTATTGACAAGATGTCAAAAGCAAATTATCGAGGTCTGTTTTATTGCAAAACGATTTTCTGGTGTTTTTCTTTCATTCTTCTAATAAATATATCTGTCATATTTTATATAGTCTTTCATTGTTTAGCAATAACCGTTTTCTTTTTTTTCTCCTCTTTCTATTACGACTTTATCTTACATTTTTTGACGCATATCCAGTTTACGAACCGGTTTTTCTTTTATTAAACGATGCTTTTATGATGATATTGGTGTAGCCCAACTGTTGTATATTTTCTATACATCATCGTGACATGGATATAATAATATACCTTTAAAAAAAGAAAAAACACAACAAAATGACATCATTTAGATAGACAGGAAGAAAGAAAGAAAAAAATGACGGAAAAAAGAATAATCAGACAGTGATAATTGTTATTAATTCTTAAATCAATAGTAGACTTAAAATAAATATTACACATTAAATCTGAAAATTTTAGATAGAAGGATAGAGTAGGTGTAATACGATATAAACTGTTGTTGTGTAAAAATGCACATGTTAAATATAAAATTTTCTTCTTTTTGGAAGAAAAAAAATGTGCGAAATCAACAATGTATCTGTATTAATTTTAGAAAATCTATTGTTTCGAAACAATATTTATTGAAAAAATTCAAAAAATCGAATAATGAATCCTATTTTAGTTGTGAAAAAGGAACAGCGACATACTACATTTGACCGTTGATAACTCGTTTTTTTTTCAGGTTAATAATTGATTTCTTTGTACTAATAGAAAAGACAAAAATGTTTGATAGATTTGTTTAAAAAGAAATCACAAATGCTTGCTTACTAGATATTCTCAATTCCATATCATGTTCTTTCCTAGTGATTATGATAATGAAAAAAATAGTTCATTATGTTTGACAAAAATAGTTGACTAATATTCAAGATTTGAATTTGAGACTAGTGTGTGTATATATAAAATCTAACATTTCAGGTAATATTACTGATGCTCAAAATCGTGATCGTTTGAATGAACATGGTATAACACATATAGTTAATGCAACACCGGATATTCCATGTAAATGGGATAGTGACTATCATTATTTACGGATAAACACTCTCGATTTAGTATCGGAAAATATTCGACAGTATTTTATCCCGGTGTCAGATTTTATTGGTGAGATAGTGAATTCTCTCTTTTTAATAACTTGATTAATCTTCTTATCATCTGATTTATTTGCCTATTTAGCTGAAGCTGTTCGAAATAATGGTCGAGTTTTGGTTCATTGTAATGCCGGTATATCACGTAGTCCAACATTGGTGTTAGCTTACATGATTAAATTATTAAATATGTCATTTCAAGATGCTTATTCTAAAATGCAAAGTTTAAGGCAAATTGTTGCACCGAATGTTAGTTTTCTCGGACAATTAATTGAATTTGAAAAGAAATTTCATTCAAAAAACACATCCACAGGAGTAGATGAAAATGTAAATCAGACGTGTAAACTATCAGATTGTAATGGTGAGAATTGTAAATTAGAAACAAAATCTAAAACACCAATTATCACTTATTAAAAATATATAAAACTATATAAAATTTTCTATTTTTTGTTAGTTGATAATGAAAAAAAGAAGAACAAAAATGTTGAATTTATAAACAGCATTTCAAATTATAGAGAGTTTAATGAAGAGGAGTATGTTAGCTCAACTGTAATTTACAGATGAAAATACATAATATTCTCGTATTTGATAGTTCTTTTTATATTTCATTGACGGTACATATTTTGAGATATGAATATCGTTTGTTGTTAAACATCTACGATTTTCTGTTGTATGGTTTTTGTCTAACCTAAACTAGACAAATTTTTTTCTAATGATCGTATGTAGATTTTTTTTTTTTCTCATACTACCCATCGAGTACATACGATTATTATAATAAAAATAAAAAGACAGTTTTTTTTTTTACTTTGAACAGTCTATACATATTCAGTTACTGTTCTTGTTTTGAAATATTTCACGACTTTTCCTTTCTTTTTTTTATACATATTTTCCTATAAAAAAGAAAAAAATCAAGAAACTTTAAAGAAAAAAAGAATATTTTCGTTTGAGCTCTAAGCTTTTCTCTGTGTATATGTGCATGTGTGATCATTTTGTTTTTCTACAATTGTTCGGTTTATATTGTCGATACATTATTTTCTGTTCTGTTTCTCAGTTCTAATCTGTACTAATGTAAAAGATTAATGATGATACATTCAACAAATTATTAACTGCTTTTCTTGTAACAAAAGAAAATAATTATATAGAGTAGAACAAAACCAATGATATCATGATTAGTTTACTAAAAATTGTAGTTTGTACAGGACTATCATTGATTTCTTTGTTTTACTAACTTTTTGGATATGATGGTGTTTACTACCCTGAAAATTTGCCACAAAGTCAAAACAAAATCTGAAATTTTGCATATTTAAACGTGAAATTGCATCGCTAACAAGAAACATTGCTCAAATATTGGATTCAATTGGTAAGTTGGACTATGTATTTCGCGCTCGATCCATAAATTTATATTATTTTCGAAGGAAAATCCTATTTTGATAGCATTTTATTTATGAGAAGAGTGTAACAATGATCAATTATCACATGTTTTAATCTTACTATCTGTTGAAATATGTTTTGATGATAATATCGATCCTATTATTGAAATAGTTTAAAATAAATTTCACTAAACAGAAACAATATTTGGTTATGTATTGAATGTTTAAAGAAATTAAACATTTACATTTGTCGTTTTATGGCACTTGAGTTTTTCATAAGTAAGTAGAGAATCGCTATTGTAGGTTTTTTGATGAACAAGATAATCTATTAAAGATAATATTTTAATTTATTTTAATTTTGAATGGAAATTTATTTAGTCAGAAAAATGTTCGTTAATTATCGTATTAAAAGCAAAATTACTGTTAAAAATCATAAATATAGTGCGATCGTGCGCAGAATTTATATATTAGTTACAAGGTATGAGTTTCCTTGTTCATCTATATGGCAGAGTTTAAACAGCACTGTGTCTCTATGAAAAAGACAAGAAACTAAGTGTAGATTGGTAATGTTAAGAAACCTGTTCATTGCTTACACTATTTACATGTTTAATAATGGCTTAATCTTATTCATTTTAGAATGTTGGTTGAAAAAGTATATTGAAAAAAATGAGTAGTGCCATATACAAATGAGAGAGTATCAAGTGTAGTCATTTTTTATATTATTGTATTGTGCTTGATGAAAATTTAAAAACAAAAAGTCGAAAAACTCCAATAAATAGTTGAATTAGAAAATTCATAAGTGTTCACAGCATTCTGTCACTATGTCTTCTCATTTAAAACATGTTTATTTAGAACTCGAGAAATTGTTTTGCTGGTTTAATTTAATCAGAAGCTTGTCAGCTATTGGGAAGATATCGGATCATGCAAATTGTCATTCAGTAGTATCCTCCACGGTAGCCACAAGGTGGGTATTCTTTTTTTCATTTTCTTCCTTCTATTTTATTTGTTTTGAATTATTTGTCTGCTAAAAAAATAAAATTTACCTTATATGTATGTCGAGATATGGATTCGACAGGCTGAAGAAACCGTATTTTGCAGTCATCGCTCGAAAGATCACTCTTTTATTTTCTAAGATAAATAAACCACAATTACTGAATTGCTGCTTGGCGGCAAAATTTGTAGCAGAGAAGTCTCTCTTTCAGAACTTATGAATAAATAACCGCTGAGTTTCTGCGTGAATTAACTCAAACATTGTCTTTTCAGACAGTTTAATCTCGATTTGGTTTCATCACTTATACGTTGGCATAACTCGGTTGGTGATTAACTTGAAGTTTATCAAAAATATACGAAAGCTAGACGGGTAGTGGACTAACATTTTGATAAAAATACAGAAAAATAACTGAAGTTCTTGTTTTATAGAACAATCAATGCTGAAAAAATGGAAAACATCTCACATGTCTCGTCACGTTTTAAAAAGTATTCTTTTACATCTTCGTAAATTTCCAACTTTATCTGAGATTCTTTTACCATTTATTCCTCTTGGAGTAGTAAATAAGTTGATCAAATGGTCTGACATAGAATTTTTGTCATGCTGAAGGATAATAAATTTTGTTGCGAAAATATCCGACCACTTTTTCTTAGAAAAAATTCTCCCGTCGCCTAATACTATTGTCCATTGAAAGAAAGAATGGCCTATGACTGTTTTTTGAATAATTTTTGATAGAAAAGAGCTAGATAGCTCTGGTTTTCACCATTCGAAAGAAGAGACTTAAGGACATGTTTTTATAACTAAAAGTTTCTCAGAAGAGTTTTTCTGAAATAGGTTTTCGAGGAGATCTTTGGAAAAGTAAGTCGTGTATAAAAATCTTCAAATAGGATTGTATTGATTTTTTTCATGGGCCGATAGCGCTGGATATTCCCTTCAATATGGGAGTCAAGCGAGACCTTCATTTTCTGCTGGTAGCCTTGAAGACGGATGAACTATGAGTAATCGACCATGCTGAGTCTCGTGACAATATTTATTTTCAGAAAATTTTTAAAAATCGAACGAAAAGCGAGTTTGACGAAAATTAAAAAGGTTTAAAAAAAAAGTTTTTTAGGCTGTTTGCACTTAATATTAAAAAATTCACTATTCACTCAGAAAGCATCAGAACGAGTTCAAAACTTTCGAATGTAGAGTATTTAGGCTGCGCTATATCCTATTTATAGGAGATTTCGGCTGAAATTTTATTCCTGAAATCCTGAGAATTTCCGAAAGGGTTTCTGGAAAAGCTCTTAATAAAAAATGCTTTTTCGGTCTGATAATCACGTTTATGGGACAACACTAGCCATATCGTGTGGTTTTGGACTAGTTCTGATGTTTTCTGAGTGAATAGTGAATTTCTTAATATTAAGTGTAAACAGCCTAAAAAACTTTTTTAATTTTCGTCAAACTCGCTTTTCGTTCGATTTTTAAAAATTTTCTGAA